CGGGTGGCTGAAGAATCACAGGAGCGGCAGCCACCGAGCAAGGAGCAGTGCAGGAGCCCCGACGGCGCCTTGCTGCATGGAGCTGGGCGGTTGAGAGTTGTTGCCATCCAACAGCTTTTGACCTCCCCGGGACCCCCCACGTCCGAGGTTCCCAGCCTGCTCACTCTCTCCTGTCAGCCTCTGGACGTCCAGTGCCCCCAGCGACCTTGGGTCCCTGGGACCCGGCGTTTCAGCCTCCAGCCATGGAGCGGTGCAGCCGCTGCCACCGCCTCCTCCTGCTCATACCCCTGTTGCTGGGGCTGAGCGGGGCCCCGTCCTGCGCAGGTAAGAGGAGTTCATACGTCTGAGTCCTCGGAATCAGGTTGGAGCTCTGAGTACCTCCAGGCAGGGGGCAGCTGATGCCTGGGGTGGAGCTTCTGAGTCCAGCAAGAGTATTTTGGGGATCAAAGGTCCAGGCTGGAGGGCAGGACACCTGGGTCCCTTGGAACCAGGGTAGGGGTCTCTTTACTTCCTTGAAGTGACTGGGGGAGGGCAGTCACACCTTAGAGAGCTGTGAGTGGGCCTGGATGCTGGGGTCCTGGAGAGAGTGAGAAATGGCCCAGGGCCAGTGTAGTCCAGCCGGTAGTGGAGTTAGGGGTAGATGCCAGTGTGGATGGGTGAGGGGTGCATGTATGTCTTCTGGTCTTTCTATGTATATTTCTGGGCTGAGGAGGAGCATCTGTGAGTGAGAGCAGAGCCTAGTAAATAGAGAAAGAAGGGATGCCTGGACTATTTGTCCCACTGGCTTCCCCAACAGGATCCCCTTCCCCCTCCCTGTGCCCTCGATGCTGCCACGCGGCTGGCTCTGGGGAGCACTGGGGCTGCCTGCCAACAGGACGGCTGCTGGACTGGCCAGGATCAGGTGTCTGAGGTGGGAGCCAACTCTTCATTCCTGCCCTCTCCCTCCACCTCTGGCCAGCCGGGCTCTCCTGGGACCCTGGTGTTCACACCCCCAATCTTTTCCTTCTTTTTCCCAGGATCCAGAATTCCTGGCTCCTAGGAAAGGGGATTTGATGCTGGAGAGAAGGGAGCTGAGAACACCTGGGTCCTAGGAAGGCTTGAGCAAGCTCGCTCTACACTTTCTGGAAACGCTGGAGGCTGATTTGCATATAACTTGACTCTTCATTTCTTCTCTGCTCTGAGGAGAAAATGGTCAGAATAGCAGCATAAAGGCTTTAGATTAGATTACAGAAGAACTTCCAAGTTGAGAAGTATGAGGCTCAGGGACAAGAAACAAGTGTGCAGTGTCTGTAAACTAGGAGTCTTTCTTGGGGGAAAAAGGACCCTCTAGCATGAAGGAGGAAGATGGCTGAGAAGACTTTCTCTTATTTTAGTGCTGAGGGGGTAGAGGTTGGACTCTATAGGGAAACGGGTTAATGTAGAATTCATAAGAGTGAATGGGGCATTTTGGGGCCCAGAGGTAGAGTGGTGGGGAGTGATGGGGCTGCCAGTGGGGAGCCTGAGTCCAGAGACAGTGAGGCATATATGTGGCCTGAGGTGGGAAGACAGTTGGCAGCCTGTGGGTGGGTCATCTATAGGATGGAACTGGACTGTCCTGGGGGTTGGTGGAAGGTGGGGGCCTCTGAGGTCTCCTTGGCCTGGGGTCTCTGTGAGTCTCTATGTCTCTGTCTCACTCACCCTCTGTCTCTCAAAGCAGCCCTTGTGTGTTGGTGTTTGCGGAGCTGCCACATGAGGGGGCCAGGCTAGGGCGGGGGATGGGAGGGCAACGCCGTGGTTTCCCGGCTCCTGGACCTTTTCAAAGGGCCTTTTCTCTGCCTGTCCGCCCCACCTCACCCACCCCGCCCAGCTCTGCTCTCCTGATCACTCCGGCCCCTGCCCTGCCCCATGTGCCTATGAAAGTTTTGCAGAAACTTTCTTTGGGATTTTTCCAATCTGGAACTGAAGGTATAAGGAGAGTGTATAGCGGGGAGCAAGCAAGGGAGAAGTGACCTTTGTCAACCCAGAAGTTTGAGCCCTAGGAAGCCAAGTTCTAGGTGGATAGGGCTGGTGGTCTGGGTCTTGAATCACTGGATCCCGAGTGGTGGGGGTGGTAGGGCAGGGTCGAAGTTCCAGGTATGGGGAGCTTGTCCAGGTTTTGGGCAAGGACTTTGATGGGATCTACAGATGTGTGGCTCAGGGCCCTGGACCTGCTTCGGCACCGCGTGGCAGCTTCAGACTCCCCCGCAACCACCCCTCCCCGCCCATCTCCCAAGCTAGAGGCATAAGCTCCTGGGGTGGCTCTTTCTTGTACATCCTTCCTCACCATGGTCAGAATTGTCTCCACCTCCCCAAACACGGAAACTACAGCAGCCTGAAGCCCCCTCCCAAAAGAGTTGCCTCTCCACTACCTCCCTGGTGGCCCCCCTGCACCTCCTATGCCCAGGATGATCTATTGCCCAGATGTTGTTTGTGCTGGAGACAGAGAACAGAGGCCAGAGACCTGAGATTGAGAGATACAGAAAGGGAGTGAGAGAGCTGGAGAAAGACGGAAAGAAAAAGATGGAGAGAATGTGAGGGAAATGAAGGAAGAAAGGAAAGACAGGGAGACAGATCAACAGATTCAAAGAGAAGAAAAGAGAGTGAGAGAGAGAAGGGGAGATGAGCTGAGAGTTGAGAGAGATGTTAAGAGAGAACAGAGAGAGATTCAAAGGCTGAAAGACAGAAATAGGGAGAGAAGTGAGCATGAGAGGCCCTAGGAGAGAAAGGGGCAGGAGTGAATACGGAACTGAATACAGGATCAGTGCTGACCTTTTCCAGGTGACTCAGATTTCCCATCCATTTAGGTCCCATTCAGGAGCAAGTAAGGGAAAGGTGACCTTTGCTTTCCAGGCAGTATGAGCCCCAGGAAGCTGAGTTCTAGACCCCGAATGTCCTCTATTGAGGCCTTCCTGAGGGTGTGTCCCTTTCCCTGACCCTCATGGACTCTCCCAGGTGTACCCCCTGTGGATGTGCTCCAGGCCCTGAGGTTTTCCTCCCTCCCTGATGGTGTCCGGAGGGCAAGAGGCATTTGTCCAGGTGATGTGGCCTACCGAGTGTCCCGACCTGCTCAGCTCAGTGCGCCTACTCGCCAGCTCTTTCCAGGTATGGGTAACATGGTGGAAGGGAGAGCTGGGGTAGGTTATGGAGAAGGGTCTGGGATCAGAAACCTGAAGGGAATGGGTTTATGACTCTCTTTGCCTTTCATTCCACCTATGTGTCTTTCGCTGGTCCTAGGAGGTTTTCCCAAAGATTTCTCTCTGTTGACTGTTGTCCGGACCCACCCTGGCCTCCAGGCTCCACTCCTGACTCTCTACAGTGCCCAGGGCATCCGACAGCTGGGTCTGGAGCTTGGCCGACCTGTCCGTTTCCTATATGAGGACCAGACGGGCCGGCCTCGACCTCCAGCTCAGCCTGTCTTCCGAGGCCTCAACCTAGCAGATGGCAAGTAAGTTAGTTTGCTCCTCTGGTCTGCCTGGTCTGCACTCTCAGGAGCATCCCTCTGGCCACTGCCCCAGAACCTCCACTCCTTAAACTAGGAAACCCTGCCTACCCTTTTGGCCATACCTCACCTACCTACCCACTGCCCAAACTTTGGTCACTTCTAGCCTAGAGTTTGGGCTTAAGAGTTTAAATCCTTGCATGTAGTACTAGCCTGTACTTTGGGCAAATTAACTTTATTGAGCCTCCATTTCTGTGTTTGTAAAATAGGGATGATAGCATCATGAGAGTCAAATGAGAAAATTTTTGCTTGGTGCCT